CATAAGGCAAGTACAGCATCCTTTCCTGTCCGAGGCAACAGGGCCCCTGTCAGAAGTTTACGCTACTACTTAAATACGTTCTTACCTTCCTGGTAAATGTTCCACCCATTTCTGGTGCCCGTTGGAAAGGTAGTGAAGAGAGATGGCTGCCTTCTTCAGGACCGCCACATATTTCACCACGTCCTGTAGCCCCACCAAACTAGCCACCTGGAAACTAAGCACAAGTCAGAGACAGTAAGTTAGAGAATTATTTTCTTCTCAGGGGAAAAAAAAAATAAACACACTCTGTTTGAAGACCTTCTTCAAACACTTAAAATCAGTCTTGAAGTACAATTTATAGCCCACTTTATCTACCCTTGCTGATCTCAACAGAGAGCATTAGGCTGGAATCCAAACACCCCAAAGCAGGTGGAGGTCGAACATGTGTATTTAAAGAGAAAATCCATCTATGCAAAAATTTCTATCTCTTCCTCTTACCAGTTTGCTAAGAAATAGAAACAGCGTTAGATTTAACTGCAAGGTTCCAGCATTCCTAAGGAATTCAGCCAAATGTCATTTCAGAAACCTTACATCTAACTAATTTTTCCCTATAATGCAAGTCCAAACAAAGTCAACAACCCCTTTCTTCCTTCCTAGACCAGGATTACAAAGGGAAAGAGACAGTGCAAACATGAAAGCCTACCTGCCAGTGTCCAGGGACGTCTCCCAGTTCAACCCTCCGATGTTGGTCTCCCAGGAACGCAGAATGCGCCCAGCATTGGACACTGTGATGGCATCTGCCCAGGAAATTAAGAAAAGGAGATGAACACAGAACTTGTATCCCACCACAGATCAACAAGGCAACGACTTCTGGCAAGTTCAACTTGCGGTCTAACACGGGGCTGAGCTCCCACGTACAAGGACAACTGCTAGCCCCAGCACACCACCTGCATGTTCTCCTTACCCTGCCCATGGATCAGCATCGCGTCTATTGCTCCTTCGGGGGTTCCCTTGTCTACATGGCGCCACACTGAAGGAAACAGAGTTAAGTGCGAACAAGATTCGTTCCCCCAAAGGCATCTGTTTGTTATGATTTTTAAACCTAGGCTCTTTATGGCAATAAGCTTATGCAGAGAACAGTCTGCCTGCCCTAAGCAACAGCTTTTGAACTGCCGGCTGAATCCTCTCAGTCTGACAAAGCAGTATCGCCAGCATTAATTTATCAGTATGAAAACATAGCACAACTTGATCGACGCGTTAGCCCCAGCGCAACAGGCGTATTCCCCACAACAAAACCCCGCTTCGCTCACGGATTTCGCCGCTCCTGGAGTTCAGGGCGGCCACGACGTTCTTCTCGGTGGCCACGACCAGCTTCTTCGAACCCTGCGAGGCCTCCAGGGAGGCGAACTTGAGCTTCCCCACGTACTGCTGCCTCCTGGGAGAGGAAACGCGAGCGGAGGTGAGACGGGACAACGGGGCGCCTCGCCGAGGGGGTGGGAGGGGGAAGGCCCGGCGGGCGGCTGCGGCAGGAGGCAGCGCGGCGGGCCCAGGGCCTGCTTGCAGGAGGAGGACCCCGGCGCGGG